ATGTATGTATGTATGTATGTATGTATGTATGTATGTATGTATGTATGTATGTATGTATGTATGTATGTATGTATGTATGTATGTATATGTATGCATGTGTTTTATTACCTAAAAAACATACTTAAAACAGCTCTTAGAACAGGGCTATTCAAGTGGTGGCTCGCGGGCCATGACTTCCATCCGATTCGCCGGTGATCCCCCCCACCCCCACCCCATTTAACTTAATTCAATATGGAAAAAGATCTAAACTCATTTGTAAATTTAAAAATTGATTTCCTGCAACAAAATAAACAAATTTAAAAGTTAAAAGATGATAATACCTGTTTTGTTGCATGCTGCCGTGTTTCACCTACCACATATATGCACACGTGTCCAGCCCCTAAGCTCCATTTTGATAGCTTTTAATCTCCCATGTCTTAACAGCATACTGACCAAGTTTGAAGCACATAGGTCAAATTCCCTAGGAGGAGTTTGCAAAAGTTTGACGTGAGCGAAAGTGAAACTTAAGGAAATGTTGACCTTTGACCTAAAATGGCCGACTTCTTGTTGGTTTTAGGGCATACCTCCAAGAGAACAGCCCTGTCTTAGATCCTAAGAGCTGCTTTGAGTGGCGGGCCAGACAGAGGTCACCTGTGGGCCCAATGTGGTACTCACTATGAGCAACAATAAATGTTTATATTCAATTAGATAATATAATCTATATACATTTAAGTGTAAATGTGTTCAAACCACTTAAAAACCTAATTTATGACTAAAATAAGGTACGTTTCAACATAATCAATAAAAAGTAGTCAGATTATACAAAATGACCCTGTAGTCCTCTGTAGTACAGTGGTTCTCAAAGTCCAGGCACTGATCCAGATCAGGGGTCTCTTTTATAAAGGATTGCGTGGAAACCATACTAAAAGTGAACGGAATGGCCAAAAGGCGGAAATGGTATACGCCAAAAAAAAATTCAGATTTATAAAACCATGCATACGCATGTTTCTGCGCATCTTTCCTTTATAAATCACAGCCGCACGTCAGAGTTTGCGCACGAGGTCCCGCCTCAGGTTCTACTCTCTACATGCACACACTCAACCATAAACAGTCAATGTAAAGTACCTCATGAATGTTAAGATGTATTTAAATCAGTCAGCTGATCAGTGCCAACAAAAGTGATTGGTTCAGACACACTCCTTCGTACGTCTGGAGGATGACAGGTGCTGACTGACAGCTGCTCACGTGAACAGATTGTCTGTAATTGACACAGATCTTCCCTCATTTTGCTTTAGAGTAATCTAACGATTTTTATAGAAGAAAATCTCAGCTTTAAATTAATTTTCTCTCAGAGCCTGCAGGACAATAAAAACAATAAAAATAAAATTTAATAAGTCAGATAAAATTAGAAGTAAGTCCACCGCTCTTCTCCTCGTCCGCGCGCGCGCGCACACACACACACACACACACACACACACACACACACACACACACACACACACACACACACACAGGCACGCAGCCCCCCGTGCGCGTGTGACAAACACAGACTTTAAACGTGAAGTTTTATAACATTAACACTGGCGAGGTGGATGCGCCCTTCGCGTGTATCCAAAGCCTGACTTTTGCTGTCCTGCTGTTCTTGTCGGGTAGGGGTCTGTGGGTCAGGGAGGGGTTTGTGGGTCAGGGAGGGGTCTGTGGGTCAGGGAGGGGTTTGTGGGTCAGGGAGGGGTTTGTGGGTCAGGGAGGGGTCTGTGGGTCAGGGAGTGGTCTGTGGGTCAGGGAGGGGTCTGTGGGTCATGGTCGTCTGAGGAGGAAGCAGATGAATGGAGTGGCGCACGGGAACTTTTATTTAAGATTTAAGTTTTTTTATTTCAAAGGTCCTCATGGCTCAGCAGCAGAAGCATAAATATTACTGTTAAGAAAGCTGATGATAAAGATGAATAAAAATCTAAGTCTGATGAAGGTAAATTAAATATCTGACAGTGATCATGACACAGTGTGGCTCTAATTCCTCACTTCACCATCTGTGTCACAGTTTCACGTCTCCAAAATGAGCGTACGCATGGGTCAGAGCTGGCGTGAGGCACCGCACATTTTCACGTCAAGTTTGGATTTTATAAATCACAACCTTGGCGTACAAAGTGGCGTACGCAAGTTTCTGGGCTCAAATTATGCGTACGCCAGTATTATAAATCCAACCCCTGGGCTGAATGACGAGTCAGTCCAGTCCCAGCCAACAAGTTATATTATATTGAAAAGAAATGCATTGGTATAATGTTTATTACTCTAGTAGTATGAAGTAGTGTGACTTTTTAAGAGTCTGCACAGAAAGAGAGAGTGCACAAGGCGAGTGAGGGACAGAGGGAGGGAGAATCGGAGCACATGACTCAGAAGAATATTAGCTGTTAAAAAATGAGATTTGAGCAGT